TCCCAGCCCTGCCCTTCTCTCTGCCAGGCCCCACCCCCGCCCCACCCCCCTATGTACTTGGGTGCCCTTGGGCCTTGCAGGTAGGCTAGCGCCGCAACGTTGCTCCGAACAGTCCGCAGACTGGCCAGGACCTGTCGAGAGGGGGATGATCAGCATTGGAAAGCGGGGAAGGATCGATTTTGCTTGCCTGGCTCACGCAGGGAGGGGAGAAGAGTGAGAACCCACCTGGGCAAAAGGTGTCACAATCATGTCTTCTCCATGTCTGTGGGGAAATAGGACATCAGAAATGTCGACCAGGGAGATCTCCAACACAGTGCTATCTTTCATCTTTTGCCCACACTATGCCCTCAGCTGAGCACATCCTTCCTTCACAACAACTCCTTCTGGTGCCCTAGTGGGCCCCGGGCTCCCCCCACTTGACTCTTCTCTGAAAGCCACCACAGCCCCTCCAACCTCACACATGAGGAAACTGAGTCCTGGGGACAGCAGGGATATTATTATATTTCCCTTTTTATTATGGCTACCAGGAAGCTCTAATTAAGGTATTTGTTCAGTTGCTACTAATTGATCTTAATGTTTCTGGATTGCCACCCAAACCCTAGCCTAAAGTCAAGCACAGATCACCAGATATCATTCTAGGCATGCTCAACTGAATAAGTGGCTTCTTGACAAACTTCTACTTAAACTTCAAAACCCAGCTCAAATGGCCCCTTGAAGGAAGTGTGCTGAATGGAAAAGTAAAAGAAGGAGGAAAAAATGAGAAGGTGTTACCCCACCAGCCTCAGACTCACAGGTCGCTGGCCACAGAGGAGTTCTGGGACAAACCCTTAGGCAGGAGTTCGTAGTCGCTGTCGGAGCGGTACAGGAAGGACTCCCGCCGCTGGCTGTGTTGGGCAGGGGCCTGGATGACCTGAGGGTCCAGGGCACTTCTCTTACATGAGTGTGCATTTTCCAGGTCAAAGCTGGAAGCAGAAGAGGCATGGTCAGAGCCAAGGGGCCTGGCAAGCAGATGGCCTGTGGAGGCTCCACCCTGTTCTTTCACATCCTCCCTGGAGCCAGACGGTGGGCCACGAAGGAGTAGCTTAGTTTGTCCACCTGCCTCACACCCCTACTCAGGGACCCAGCACCCCTCATGCTTTGGTCTCCACGTCTCTACAGGAGCCTCCCCACTGGAATCCGTCTGGACTCTGGGACGTGAGTTTCAGATCTGTCCCCAAATGTCTGTGTGACCATGGGTAGGTCTCAGCCTTTCTCTGGACACCAATCTCCCTAACATAGGTGTGGTAGAGTCTTCTCCGAGGATGCTTTTAGGGAGGTACAACTGAACACCTGAGAATGACAATGGGCTTCCATATTCCATATGGGAAACTGAGGTCTAGGTCCCATGGTAAGGACTGGAAACGACTTTCTGGACTCTCCTCTTTGGAGGGGTCTGGGTCCTGCCTTTACTCCTCTGCTTCATTTTCACCCAAAAGCTCTGCCTGTTCTCTTTCACCTCTGGGCTTGGGCTGCAAGGGCCGTGCCTCTTCCTGGAGCACCATCCTCCTCACCGCACCCCCTGCTCCGAGCAATCTCCAATTCCTCCCTCCCAGCTCTCTCAGCCCTGCCCCTCCCTCCCGCCACACCCTGACAGGGTAATTAGGAAAGTTTGCTCATCCTCCTTGGGGTCAGAGGTCAGAGAAAGAGTGGGAGGGGACGTGAACAGGAACAGAGATGCTGGATGGGGAGTTAGCAGCTGGGGAGAGGGACTGTCTGTGGGTCACCGGCTTTGAGAGGGGGCAGGCAGGAGACGGACTCCAGGAACCGCCCACCGCTTGGGGCTTCTGACCAACGGCCAGTGTCCACCTGGTCCCCCGCCAAGTCACCCATCCGGGGTTCGGCAGGACTGTGTCCGGTTCGGCTGGACTCGGGCCGGCTAGGTCAGGCAGGGTCGTGTCTAAGTTCTATTGAGTCTGGTCCTGCTGAGTTCGGTTGGGTGAGTTCATTCTGCCTTGGCTACGTCCGACCGCGCTCGGGCAGGCTCGGATGCGTTCGGGAACATTCGGCTATGTTCGGCCTCACTCGAGAATTCGGGCGTGCGAGGCTTAGTCCGATCGCTTCAATTTCGGCCGCGAGAAAAGAAGCCAGCACCGCGCGTGCGTCCGAGTTCCCGCTTCGCGACGTCACCGAGAGGGCCGGGGCTTCTTAACCGTTACCTGCCCGGCAGGCGGGGCGCAGGCGGGCGGAGGAACGCTCTTAAGGGGGGCTAGCGGCTGATACACTAATCCGCCCCCCGACGGGGAGGCCTAGGGGTGGCGACCCCTCCCCCTCCTCGCCTCTCCCCAGAGGTTCTGGAACAGCACCCCCATGGATAACTAGGGAAACCGAAGCAGGGAGAGGCCAACGGGGTGCTGGGTTCGAAACCAATGAGCCGGCTCGTTAAGGGCTGGTAGCAGCCGGGGAAGTTGTTTTTCTTTCTGCTCTAAACTTAGCAGAGAGCAGCGGGGTCAGGCTGTGGTTCCATGACGCCGGCGGCTCGGGGCGAGGTCGCCCTGACCATGGAAGCTGAACCTGTGTCATGGGTTAGGCAGGTAAACTGAGGCACGGGGGCCTCCGAGGGAATGAATCGCCATTCTCTAGCCTCACCTTCTGGGACCCGAGGGTGCTCCCTCGACGCCCCTGTGCTCTCTCCGGAGCCCTGGGCAGGGACCACCCTTCGCAGGCGTCTGGTGGGTGCCCAGGGGACGCTCTCCGGGGCCTGGGACCCCCTCCTGGGCTGTAATGGCGCCATCAGGGACCACGGCCACGACCGCCCCACCACCCCCAACTGTCACTGGCTGTTTGGAGACGGGTCTTCAGTTTCTGAGCCACCAGGTGCCAAATTATCAAGGGGGTGTGAATGCAGCACGAACCCGCGCAAGGTGCCAGACACAGTCGGGCGCCCACAAGCCCCACCTCCGACCCTAGGCTCGCCCCCACACCCCATGAAGTCACAGTCGCTTCCTGAAGGGCCAGGATTCGAACCCAGAGAGGTGACAAGTCCTTGGAGGACGCCGCCGAGGTGGGCCGAGGGGATCAGCTCTCAGTTTGGGACGCAAAGCGCCTCTCTCATGCTAAGGATGCCATGCCTCGAAGGCCCCATAGAATCGGGTCTTCCTTCGGGGACGCCCAGGGTTTCAGGTGAAGCCCCCAGGGCATCTCTTCGCGGGCACCGGGAAGGATGGAGGGGAGCAGCTCCCCTCCCCCCACCCCCTGGGAGCTCAGGCCGCCTGCCCCCCGGGAGGGTCGGGAGGAGTCGGGAGCTCGTCCCGCTCTGGGCTACTCAGCGGAAAGGAGCAGCCGGCGGTGCTCGGGCTTTCGTCCAGGCAGCGGGTGGACGGAGAAAGAGAGAGGACTGGAGAAGACAGGACCGAGAAAGGGCGGGAGGGGCAGAGCGCCCATGCCCTGGCCCTGCCCCTGCCCCAGCGGTCCCCGACTGTGTCCTTCCCACCTCCAGCTGGCGGTTCCAGTGACCCTTCCAGCTCTCCCGCCTCACCACAGAGGATGGGCCACGGTGAAGCGCCGCTGCAGGCGGATGCTCTGGTTCACCAGGAGCTTCCTGAAGAGCCCGGGGGAGCTGCGCGGGGAGTCCCGGGGAGAGCCAGGCCCAGGTGCCGGGGCAGGCGCGGGGGTGCCCTGCATCGCTGTGACGGCGTGGAGGCCGGACAGAGTGCGCGCAGAGGAATCGTCCCTGGACAGCCGCGGGGGCGGGGCCGG